CTCTGCCCCATTCTTGGACGGAGGTCAACCCTACGCGCTCGATGCCCTGAGAAAGAAATACGGAGACATCTTCACCCTCGGGGTGCTCTCCAAGGACCTCGTGATTCTCAGCAATTGGGAATTGATCCGGGATGTCTTTGGACGGGCAGAGTTTTCCGGTCGAACCGAGATTGCTCTGACTCAACAAGTTTCCTTCGGCAAATTCGGTACCGTCTCTGAATATTAATTCCAACCTCCAAATAAATGGTGATCTGAAGACGCCCTAGGATAAGTCAGGTTCCTGACTGATGAGAGACTTTGCTCCTTCTTTTGCATTTTCACCAAAAGGAAGCCAGGTGCAGCCCATTTAACTTTGAGAAGAAGCAGAGAAGTCATTATCGAACTGATAATATTGACAAGCCTTTAATGTTCGCGTGAATTTTATTTTCGTGGCTTGAAATAAACGTGAATTAGGATCATGCGAATTTAGCATCCAGGGAAAAGCAGAAATCATGCATTTTTTACAGTGACAATGCCTTGAAAATTCTTATACATGAATGCTTTACATCTTTCTCAGAAGTAATGACGGTATGTACTCATGGCAAGAGGCTTAGGAAATGAAGAAATTACACGAGTGTTGAAGTTTAATTGAGACATTCAACAATACCATGAAAATATTATCTTTACAGTGGCCCATGCCCTATTTTAAAGGTTCCGTAGGAATCCCATGGGAAACCTATAAGTTTCCAATGGAATCCTATTTAAAAAATAAAAATAAAAAAGTATACCAAATCATTTACAGATATATTATGATGCAAGTGTCTCATAGGATCTCATGTGTTTCTTATGGGGCCCAAAGGAATCCAATAGAAATTAATAGCATCTTATAGGGCTCCCAAAAATCTCCTTAAGTTTTCCAATTAAGTTAATGTTAAGTTAATGGATTCCAATGGCGTTCCATAAGAAATCCGTAGGTGTACAGGTTTGACAAAACCTATTGGATTCATGTACATTCTAATAGGAATCCCATAAGGCTTTATCGTTAGGGATAGCAAATGGATGGGACAGGTTCAAACATGAAATGAATGATGTGAATCAAAATTTAAGTTCCATTAGTTGACTTTCCAAAGGCCGCGATGTTTTCGTACCAAGGAATGAAAAGATTTAATTGTTTTTATGTTGGAAGGCGCCCATATCATCATAACTGAAAAAAAAAACTTAAATAGATCCTTTCATGGGTATGGATCAGCCCGAAAAACAACCTAAGAAAACCAAGTTGCTTGACCAAGTTACAACAGCAGTAAAAGGGGGTTATCGCATTAAAAATCCGCTATTGGATGGGATAGTATAAAAAAAATGGAAATCATTACTTCGGTATGCTATTACAATCCAACCAAATAGTAATTCAGAGCGATAAAGGGGGAAAAGGCCATAATCGAATTACAATGTTAGATTCTCGAGAAGTCCAGCGACTGCAGAAAATAAAATTCGCAAAACAGGTCTTGCTTCTTCGTCGGGAAGCCTGTGGCAAGAAAATCGCCGCTTCACAATGCGAGTTCTGAAGGATTTTGGCTTCGGGAAGAAGGCCGCCTTGGATTGTATGATCCAAGATGCCGCCGTCGATCTCTGCCAATTCCTCATTGAGAATAGACAGGAACCGCAAGATCTTGGCCCCCGCCTCAACCTCGCCATCCTAAACATCATTTGGAAAATGACTGCAGGTTTGCAAACGAGTTCACACCTTGCAACCTTCATTTAATTTTTTTTTTAATGTACGAGGGTAAACTCTGTCTTCATGTTTCCTCCTCATAGACAAACAATTCTCTCACGATGACGCGAAGATGCAAGACTTCATGAACCGAATCATGGGAGTTTTCAGGGACTCCGACGTCCTCAGCCACCTTCAATGGACTCCTCTTCTGGCGTACCTGTGGCCTCCGGCGTTCCTGGCGTCTCGACGAATCGCCCGAAACATGGCCGCCATTTCCCAAATATTTGCGGTACCTTTGACAACGATATAAATAGGTTCGGCGACCTGTTCAAGGAAATTAGGGTTAGCAGTGCCAGTTAAAAAGTTCAATTGCTTCGGCTGGTTACATACACGCATGAAGACTCAAGAGTTTTGGAGGCAAGAATAGCAAAGTTTTTGCCCCTACTGACAGGATTACAGTGGTTGAGCGAATGTCCCTGTCGGTTCATTTCGCATCTCATTTCCTGCTGCAAACCTAGTTTGATCCAGTTAATAAACTGCGGAGGAGAGGGGAGACGACTTTTCGCGCTGTTCGCCTTCTGACCCCCCCCCCCTCCCATTGGTGCGCATATGTTTATATGGAGCATGCTCTAATCCTCCAATAGTGAAGACCCTTACCAAAATAAGTGTGCTTTTCAGTTATGTCTTTCCGTTTACAGCCCAATATGAATCTAGAAATGTATTTTCAAATACTCGAGGAGAATCCTACTGTCATGTGAACTTCTTCATGTTCAAATTTGAATACTGCTGAGAACAATACCATAACATCTAGAGCAATCCTAAGGAAAATGACAAATTAAAAGGACATTACTACGAGTAGGAATTCGATTGCAAGGGAATAATATTCCGTATTTCCATAGGATGAAGTGGAAGAACACAAGAGGAAGCTGCCATTGTCCGGAGGCTCCAACGACTACATCGACGCTTACCTCACGGAAATGGCACAGCAGAAGGCTCGAGGGGAGGTCAACCCCAACTTCTCGGGTATAGTTCGAAATCTTGAAATCATGGCATCTTCGAAATCGTGGATGGGATGGGGGAGAGAACTGGAAGTAGCTCGTATCCATCGTAGAGTTCCAGTTGCGAGTGAACATCTCGGATCTGTTCATCGGGGGGAGCGAGACGACGTCGAATACCATTCGGTGGTGCGTCTTGTTTCTCCTCTGCCACCCTGAAATTCAGGAGAAACTTCAGGTCGAAGTTGACAGCATTGTTGGGTGCGACAGACTTCCTTCGCTGGATGATCGAGACAGGTTTGACATGACATGAAACATGATCTTGGAATTCTTTGTAGGTGCTAAAAGGGTGGAGTTCGTTCAGAGGTACATACTGTATTTAAAAAAGGAGAATAGAAAAGTACTTTGACAGGAAATTAATAATGGAATATCTAGCCTTCATGAACTAAATAGCAAGTTTACAGACATGCAATCCCACCCTTGTAGCACGCAACATTGAATCAACATGGATTCAATGTTGATTCTACAGTATGTTATGTGTTCCTAGGTCAAAGATTCTTTCAAGATTTCAAAAGTATTTTATGGAAGTATTTCAGTTTTTGGACAAATTCTGTTTCGGAATTGAAGTTTCATATATTGCACCTGTTAAGGGAATAATTATATTTTTCATCCATAGGAAAAACCTTCGAGAGATCAATTTCCTTCGGCAATATCTGAATTTGTTCGTTCCCAACACAGGGAATGTTTAAATTTTGAATTAGAAATCTTGAACTTTAATTCAAAGAAGGCTTTATCGCACCATTGAAACCTTCGAACTTCATATTTCTTGAGAGGATATATAGCATATTAAAATTTATGAGAATTCATTTTCAGAAATGAAGCTATTCAGGCAAAAAAGTTAGTGTCCTTTTTGAAGAATATTTTTAAAACTATGGTGTATGAGGTTTCCTTAGAGTCGGAGGGTTTCCTTTCAAGTTCTTTAGTTCAGCTGTCCACTTTTCTGGCTTTCAGTATTAGCAAAGTAACATATCGCAAAAATGCAAAATTTGAAGGTCATAAACGTTCCAAATGCCCCTAAATTCTTTAGTCTGAGAAATTATCCTAAGTTTTCTATTATGTCTTCATTTATCAATAATTAATAACATATGTATTATCATTTTTTATTTACTTTGTTGCTGTCTTTCGACTCATTTTGAAATGACCTTTCTTTCCAGACGTTTTCTTTTATCGTTCTCGGATTTCATTTCATCACCATCCTTTTCCTTCTTCATTCTTATTTCTTTTTGCCTCATGACGCACAGAATGCCTTACACCGAAGCCTTTATAATGAAGACGCATCGCTTGGCGAGCCTTGTCCCCTACGCGTTGCCTCATGAGGCTGTAGAAGAGGCGGAAGTCGCCGGGTACCGATTCCCTAAGGTGATTTGCGACTTTTATATATTTATTTCTCATATGTGCTTGAATATGCAAGGATGTAAATATACGTATGCCAACGATACCTTTTACTCGAATCATCTTGTGCCCCTTGGTGCTGCGCGTCGAGGGATCAATCGTTGTCTAAGTTCTTGTTCCGATCGATCTGTGAGGCTGGAGGCCTTCTTAATTCTTTAATGCATGATGTAGTAGATATGCAATATTCCAAAAAAAACTTAGAATGCGTAAGTAGAAAGCTCTCCCAAATAGCACAACATTTTCCAACAAAGTTGTAAGAATTTTGATGGTCGATGTTGCTCCAATGTGAAAATGTCCAAAACATTCGAATGTTGCAAAGGAACATTGCATTGACGGTGCCGATCGTTACATATAAGTTTTCTTATGTCGCAGTAAACGAGTAAATGGAGACCTACGTGTCCATCTAGTGGCCTGGAGGACAACTTTACAATTTCTTAAAACTTCTAAGTGCGTAGAGAATCAGAATGTTGTCGCAGTGTTGTCAATGTCGACAGTGTCAACATTCTTGCAAAATCGATAGGAAATGTTGCAATAATATTCGTGGAAGTGTCTCAGCAACTTTCAAGGAGCTCAGAAGTGAAAACGTTGAAGCACATTTGATCAATGTAGTTCATCAACTTGATTGCTCTGAGAAACATAGGCACCATCTCGGAAACATTCCATCGGCATTCTGTTACTTGGGCTAGCAGTAAGTCGGTTCATAGCATATGTGCAACACTAGTCTTTGTACCTAGCACCCAAGGGATCTCTAGGTGACCTACACCCTTCGGAGCAAGCAACCTATAAACACAAGGGGGTTCGTTGTGTGACCTATCGTGCAATTGTTTTCAACTTCATGCTAATCCAGTTTCCAGGTTCATCTGTATGTTTTGCATTTTCATTTGCTTTGAGGTACGTACGAATGTTGACTGAGCTCTCGAGTCTCCATGCAAACGTGAGTTAGATAGCTGAAAATGTTAAATGCAGCAGATTTGCAAAAATAACATTTTGAACTGATAAATTTGAGGAAATAATTTTTTACTACTTTTCCCGTGTTCTAGGACATAATAAGAATCCATCAGTTTCTTTTTCATCGAAAAAGAAAAAATAATATGTTAAAGGGTTAAATAAGCTTTTAAAGGCGATGGAAACGAACCGTATATGCACGGGCATGGGCATGGGAAAGAATGAAAATATGATTGAATGACAGATTCTTCAGCGACAGGGAAAGCAAGCGATTGCTCGGCATATCTGAAAGATAAAACCATTGAAAAAAAAAGACAGGAACGTCTGGGCAATTGTCCCTCAATGCAGGTGGGCATCAAGTGCTTCTGAGAGACACACTCAAGTTACAAAGTTCAAGAAGTCAGACCATGAAATGGAGAACCATTTCCAACCATACTGACAAATCAAGACTCAGGAAAATACTCATCAACCTTTCTGTTTCCAATTCCAGGAAGTATCTACCCCTTGAGCGATAATTTTTTTCATGGGAGTGTTGAATCCTGTTTTGTTACTTTCTGGTGGTTATCGCCACGTGAAAAAGATATTCACCAAAACAGCCTTAAAAGGGTCCATTGATAGACGAATTCATCATCCAAACGGGCATTGCAGATGGACTATGTTGAAATGAGTTAGGTTACCATTTTTGCCTCATGAAGGTAGAGAGGACAGTGCAGTATGAGTAGGCCGCAGTTGTGAACAAAGATTTTCTTCAATTGAAAGCAATATTATGTAAGTATGACTCCATTTGTTTTCTTTCACACCTGAGCGAAATTATGCTACTTTTTCTGGTATAGAATATTACTTTCCGAGGAAGTACGATCGTTGACTGTTCCATTATTCCCCCATAGGGAACGACATTCCTAGCAAACGTTTGGTCGTGTCACAGGGACCCCAAGTTCTGGCCGGATCCAGAAAAGTTTGATCCGGGACGATTCTTGAATCCAGATGGATCCGTCAAGACCAAAGTTCCCAGCTTCCTTCCATTCTCCCTCGGTAAGTCATTTGCCGTTGAATTAACTATGCACACTACATGCATCAATATTCTTCTTAGGTAAAGTTATCCTCAAGCATGCTCTCCTCAAACAGGAAAGCGTCAATGCCTGGGCGAGTCTTTGGCTCAAATGGAACTCTTCTTGTTCATGACCATTTTCATGCAAAAACTATCATTCCGCACCACGACGGGACGCCCCTACCCCAAAGCCGAAGGTTCTGGCAACACTCTCATCAATCATCCCAAGCGCTTCGTATTCCTCGTTGAGGAGAGGAATCAATGAATAATTCAGTTCCTATTTGTGATTGGTTCAGCCTGGCGAGTCATTGGATGAGCATCATTTAAAAAAAAATTAATTTTGGGCTGATTCGAGCGTCTGTTTACTTTTTAAGAATGGATATATACTTGAATTTACCTTGTGTTGGCGAACACTCCGATTTTCAGGAACCTTTCATCTGTGCAAGTGAAGGAAAAACTGTGGCAATCATTAGCTAGCTGATGTGCCTTGAATCAGGATCCGTGGAGGTCCATGCTTTTCTAAACCGCGAGAGGAAGCGTCGAAATGCACAGGTTGACCTAGAAAATCTCTTTTGAATTGATTTTCGCCAAACACAAACTCACGAAGTGCAAGGATGGTGTAGGTAAATTGTAATCAGCGCTCATCGAGTATCAAAGAACGTATCATGCGCTTTGCAAGTGCAGCATGTGCTTTAGTATTAATAGTATTTTTGCGACATGCTGATGAGTCTCTTGCAAGTCATTCAAAAGGAGTTCTCCTTTCTCCTTCTCTTATATGCTCCTTGAAAGGGAAAAAAGGTTTGAATATGAGAACGTGGCATAACTGTCGATGACAATGAAGATAGATGCACGGATCAGGCTGAGCATAACAGGTATACTCGTATTATCAGTCGTTTTTGAAGCAAGTTCCGGTAGTATTGGACATTAATTTGTTCTTTTGGGACCGGGCGCGCCAGAACAGCCGTGGGTGAATATCAGTCGCATATTTTCCTGTGTCGATAGAAATTTCGCGACTGCTCTTTGCTCATTATGAGTGAAGTTCACTTTTTATGCCAATGCCGAAAATAGGTCTCACAAACATTTCTGCAACATCCATAAAACAATTTGCTCAATGATTCCAAGTTCAGAGCTGAAAGATAAGGGGCCGAGGATGATATTGTGCATTTTATTGATACAGTATAACGCTGCTGTATCGAGTCTGACCGAAAAGGGGCCTCCAGTGAGAACTTTCGGAACTCACCTCGTACGTGCATCTACATACTCAAAAAACAGGAATGAAGCTTTTGAAGATGCTGTAAAGCCTTTTTTTGAAATACAAGATTTCCAATCGACTATTCAAAGGCCCCGTGTTGTACGGAACTAATTTCTGGAATTAGCGACGGAGAACGATATCTGAAAAGGAATTTCGCCTCCACAGTACACTTAACAAAAGCATCGTTCTTCCAGCAGGCGCATTATATAAAACTTCATTTTGAAGACGGATGAAGAAGTTTCTGTCCTCAGTATCCATAGCAACCAGACAACACGTCTCGCTGCGCATGTGCAGCTTTCCGCCCGGGTCGGGGTCTACCACTGCAACATCCCATCCAGCCATAGCGGCTGCTCGCGGCCGCGTAGACAGGGTTGCTTAGAATACGTGGGGAATGCCGCTACTCCTACGCTTGACACCCTCTTCCCGTCTGCACGCTGCCTGGGCGCGCGAACCATTAAGAATATTGTCTAGTTATCCAGGACTTTTCATACAGGCCTTTATCGTACCAATGACAGCTATTATTTACAGTATTTTAAGGTTTAGTTGTTAGAATTCGGGAAATAATGCAATTCCAGTGGTTTAGGGTCCAATAGAATGGCAGATCTGTACCAGGACTGGTACTCTCCAGCTTTATCTTGTTACTGTCTTGCGACTCTTTTTGTAGTACCATAATTTCTTGGCTTTTTCTGTATTCTTGGAAGTGATTAATTATCCTTCCTTCTCCTTTATTTTCATTTCTCATTGCCTCGTGACGCATTGAATGCCTTACACCGAAGCTTTCATAATGGAGCCGCACCGGCTGGCGTGACTCGTTCCCTATGCGCTGCTGCTTGAGACCCTGGAAGAGGTGGACGTCGCCGGGTTCCGATTCCCCAAGGTGATTTGTTAATTTCCTATGGTACTTTTCCAGATATTGCTACAAATGCGCTTATTCTCTCTTCCCAATTCTCACATTTCCGGAGTAGTCAGTTCTTTGATTTTCTGTGTTGTTATTGCCATTTATTCATGGCCACGGGGAATAACAAAAGTATGCTTCCATGATGGCAGATACTATAGCAACGGGAAAAACAAGTGGTAGCTCAACTTATCGGAAAGGGCCTGATGTCAATGAAAAATAATAGCAAAAGAACAGGAATGTTTGAACTACTGTCCCTCATTGAAGCAGAACATCGAACCCACTCAAGTTTCAAAGCTCAAGATTTCGGGCCCCAACACGGAGAGCCATTTCTACCCGTATCGATACTCCTAGTCTCGGTAGAACACTCATCCGCCCTTCCGACTCCATTTCTAGGACAGGGCTGCCCTGCCCTATTTTGTAGGGGGAAAGCCACAATCATTAACTTTTGCTTACTCTACTTGTCATTAATTTAGTCGCTAAAGCTCCAAGAAATCTCTCTTATAAGTTCATCGAACCTCTGAACCCATTGACAATGATCTACGAGGCCGTCTCGTATCTATATTTTACGCGAAAACTGTTCACTTAGAATTAATGTTGACCAACAGATAGCTTCGGAAGTATGTTTTCCATCGTTTTAACCTTCCAGGGAAAAACTCTCCGTTTTGGGCACGCATTCGAGAACATGACTTAAAAATATGGTGCAAAAATTTCAATGCCAATGAATTAACATGCAAGACGGCATTACAGACGGAAGATGTTTCAACGAGTCACGTGACCATTATCGTCTCAGAGGATCTGGCACCGCCATATTCCTAAGCTGCAATTGTAGACGTTGAATTTCTTGCAGTCTAAACTAGATCAGTTCTAGGTCGGCTAGGTCAGCTCTATCGTGTGCGGTCTGCACTGACCTCTCCGTGCAGAAGGATGTGCCAGACTTCTTGAAAGATATGAAGAGTTTAACGTGCCGCAGTTGTTATTGAACGATTTCAGCCAACTACCATCTCTACTCCGCAATGAACTGCCTCTCTCTATTTGTCGATGGATCTTTTTGCTACGAATGACGAGAGAGAACTGGTTGCCGTGGTTGCAGACACGAAACCCGATAACTCAAGTCTGACGTTCAGGGAAACTAATGGTACTCCGAACCGCTTGCAGTAGAATTCAAAAGTCGAATAAAGAACTATGCTTTGACTATAATTTTTCATAGCTGAACTCATGCTGTCTTTAGCTATTATCTGCAATAAAGCATTCGAAAATTTTAAGATAAGAGTTCTTTAGTAGTCGTGGGAAAGCCAAATATGAAAGAAACAGATTTTCGAGTTTTCGCCCCGTTTCAGAAATTCAGACCTAAACCTTAAAGTCTTCTGTGGATCTTTCATTGAATATGTTTCATTTCTTATTCATTTCAGTGCAATGTCTGACGCTTCAGGTGTTGTCGTCCTTTCATATTCATGTTTTTCCATCATCCATTGGTTCCTTGAGTGGAGTAGCTAAGAAGCAGCTTTTGGCAAGATGCTTGCAATTCGATTCCACTTTATTTATATGTTCACTCTTTACTTTGATTCTATTCAAGTTCGTTGCAGCAAATCTCTCAGATGGCAGAAAGCGAACATGAGCAAGTTTCATTCATAAAAACCCTATTCTTCTTTTCCAACCATCGGACCAATCTTGCCATTTTCGTCATTGATAAATCTTCTACCAGGGAAATGTACCTTCTCCTCTAAGATATGAACAAATCTTTTTAATGCGATATCAGACTTAAATGATGTTTGGTGATAGTAAAAGAAGGTCAATAGAAGTAAAAATAATTTGGTACTTGAGTGCAAGTAAGCCGGCGAAATGCAAGGGTGGTGCAAAACAAGGACAGTATAGATCAAGGTCGCTGCAGTTAGGGTGCAATCAGCGATCAGTAGGTACCCGATCACCCGTCATCCACTGTCCAAGTCCAGGATTCACCTTAGCTATAGTTGGGAGGACATGACTAATCCTATGCAAGTCATTCGAAGAGGCGCCCCTTTCTCCTTCTCGCACCTAAAGAAACAGAATGAGAAGCAATGGGGATTTTATAGGCCAATCCGGTTTCTTTTTCAGATCCGATCCAGCCCCTATCCAATTCTTTATTTTGACTCGGTGGCGACAATGACGTCGAGATGGTCATTCTGCCTTCGTGTGGCAAGTGCCGATTGGCACTCATTGGGAGGCGGCAATGGAACTCTTTGAAGCTTTCAAGTACTCTTCAAAGTAGTTTTGCAGAGTAGATGAATTTTCTGCACATTTAATCCTCCAACTACCAGAACCATGATGGTCATGCGTTTAACTGTTGGTTTCATCTCTTCATTTCCAAAAATATCTTTTTTTTAAAAGTTGCATAATTACAGTCAAATTAGCCAAGAGTATCTTCATGAAAATACTCGGAGTATCAGACTTTTCACTTTCTCGCCCTAGGCTGTATAAATGTTTATTTTTACAACAGGGTCCATAGGACATAGAATTGTAATTCCAGGGTTAAAGACACTTGTAAAGATTATAATGTCCGCACCTCAAAACCAAGGGTTCTGCAACACTCTCATCAATCAGCCCAAGCCCTTCGTATTCCTGGTGGAGGATAGGAATAGACCAAGAATTCAATTCCTCCCGTTGATTGATTCAGCCTATCGCTGTTATCGAGCGGATCCATAAACAGAATCCCCCAAGTAACACAAGATATTCCAGCAACGTTTAGGAAATGTTGATGAACAATGTTGCATCTATATGTAAATGTCCAAAACGTCAACGTTGCTCAAATGTTGCGAGGGAACATTGCATTTACGTTGCAAATCACTATTTATTAATTACATATACGTTGCAGATACGTTTCAGGATTTATGTTGCTGCAATGTTGATNATACGTTTCAGGATTTATGTTGCTGCAATGTTGATTAAAAACGTTGCTTCACGGGCACCTAATCTGGGCCTATATTGGCATTACGGAAAAGCGTAGGCTTCACTGGTCCTGAACTGGACCGATATTCCACCAATATTGAATTATTTATTTCATCCTTTCGTACATTCTCATCAACAGGACGAAGCCTGTACTGGTATAACCCCTACTTCATGCATAATACAGTATCTGTGTCATGTACAGAAAGGTGATGATACATTTTTGGAGGTGATCTTCCCCTGGATGTGCTAAATTGCACAATACAG